GCTTGTAAAATCAAAGACAAGTGATTTACTTCCAAGACAAAATGATGGTACAGGCTTTGGGTAAACATTCCTGTTCCAAAATGCACTTCCCTGTGCATACGTTCTTAAGGTTTCTGAAGAGAAATAGAATCAATGCATTCTGTACTACATTTCCCCATAGAGTTTCCTGGAACCTTATCAATTTTCCACTGCGTCAACCCAGTATTCTTAGGAGGCAGAGCACGAATATCTGAAGACACTGACGGGGCAATAATTCTCACAAATCTTCCCACCAGTCCTCAGGATCAGAATCCCATTGTATTTTTATAAATGACATGGCTTCCCCAAGAAAAGAAGCATGACAATTTTCTGGTTGCTTTCAGCCAGGGACCCAGCCTGCTTCCCCACACTCTGCATTTTGTAGAGGTCTGTGCTTGAAGTCGGAGCATGTGCTTCATAAATGTTGGAAAGCGGGTTTTCCCTGAGGCTATCACCACCTGTGGCATGATTTACACACTGTGCTAGGCGAGAATTAAATATTTACCGTCCGCAAAAACACAGTTCCCTCCCAATGCGGCAAGGACAAGGGAAGCTTGCACGCATTCAGAGAGTGCAGCCTCAGTCCTAACAGCTGGGTCATGTCAGGTGAGGATGAGTGTGTGTCTGTGTGTGTGTGTGTGTGTGTGTGTGTGTGTGTGTGAATATCTCTATGAAGATAAGTGTCAGAAAGGACTTCAAGGGCCTGCCATCCAATTCCCTTGTTCTGCTAAGATGGAAGTAGGCAACAAAGATGGGAGCTACCCAAGTTTAATGCAGCCAAATTCCTTTCCTCCCAGTGATGCTCTGTTGGGGCTCAGAAAACAATACCCCAAAGTGAAGGCCTCAGAAGGAGAAGTTTTTATTTGACCTTCTCCTGCCCTCTTGTCTCTCAGTCTCATTCTTTCCCAAGGTGAGCTGAAACAATAATCCCTCTTTCCCAAGGCAGGCCATAGAAACCAGAACCCCTTTTCTCTAAAGCCAGCCATAAAACTTAAACATATTCTACATAAAAACTGGCCATGAGGAAATTATCTGACCTATCTTGCTTGACTGCAGGTCATAAGACTCCCATTCCGGAGTGAGTCCTGCCCCACACCCAGCAGGAAGGAATGATACTCCGGGAGGCCAAGAAGAATCTGGGCAGACAGGTCATGCTGGATTTCCCCAGTCAGTCTATCAGCATTAGGTCTTATCCTTTTTGTCCAATCATATTTTTACATGGCAGTCTATACTTTGTTAAGCCTAAGCATAAAAACAGACAATTTCCCCTGCATCTTGGGGTCTTTGTTCTGAAGGCTCCCTTATATACACATTAAATAAATGTGTATGCCTTTTCTCCTACCCAGCTGCAACATGTAAAGGACTTTCAGCAAACTTTCAGTGAGCTGAGTTCTTAGCCCCTACACCTTTCCCAGTAAATGGCCTCATCCCTAAGGAAGGTAAGCAATGGAGCACCAGCAGGCAAAACGCCCTTCCTTCTGACTTTACATGGATCATTCATTCTCCTCCCATCCGCTTTACATTCTCCATTCATCAATTTCTCCTTGCTCAGTGCTCTGCCTGCCCCTCCACATCCATTTCCCACCTTCTGCATCCAGCACAGTCCTCCCAGGGGACTGACCCATATGGACCACACTGATGGGTTCCAGGACCTCTGGCTCTGGTTGGGTGTGATTAGGGGGAGGCACGCGCAGGAGACTGAAAGGAGAGAATGGATGGCTGGAGCCCTGTCACTCTGACTCTCCACACTGGCCCTTCATCCTCTCTCTGCCCCGTTGGTCCAGTGGATGGTAACAGCTCCTCAGGCCTACAGGCATGGCTCCCAACTTGCTGGACCACCTGCCTGTCAAGACCTTCACCTCACACTACCTTCCCCTGAACCCTTGCTTCCTGTCCTGCTCTCACCTGATTCTCCCATCTCTGAACTCTTCAAGTTCTCATGTGTCCCACAGAGCGGACCATCCTTCATCTTCACACAGGATGGTGTTCTTCCCCAAAGACATCAACAAGCACTTTAACAGAGGGGTTCAGGTACTGGCATGGTATCTCTTGTTTGCTCTGAAGCATCTATTGACCATTTTTTTTAATTTTTTGAGATGGAATCTCACTCTGTCACTCATGCTGGAGTGCAATAGTGCGATCTCGGCCCACTGCAACCTCCACCTCCCAGGTTCAAAACCTTCTTATGCCTCAGCCTCCCGAGTAGCTGGGACTACAGGCACAGTTGGCTACTTTTTGTATTTTTAGTAGAGACAGGTTTCGCCATGTTGCCCAGTCTAGTGTCCACCTCCTGGCCTCAAGCAATCCGCCTGCCTCAGCCTCCCAAAGTGCTAGGATTACAGGCATGAGCCACTGCATCCGGCCTCATCCATTAACCTTTTATGTCATTAAACTCTTAGGAACATGCGACCAAACTTTAGTGTCCCTAACAGTTTTCCAAGGTCAGGGCCACACAGAGCAGACGAAGCTCTCAAGCTCTCCAGTTGTCTTCAAGGCATTGGCATCACCACTTAGGTCCTAGCCTGAGTAAACTATGGAAGAGCCTTGATTGCATGAGTCCTGCTTGGAATCTGACAGACCAACTGAAGTAAAAGACGACTGGGAGGGATGGGCAGGTATGGTTTCCCTGGCTAGGGTTTTATGGCATAAAACTTTGAGGGGTATTTGTTTAAATAAAATTGCAGCCCTCATAGGACATTCATTAGCAGAGAGCTGCATCTTCCTGAGAAACAACCTTGACCATGAAGTTTTGCTTTGATTGACTCCTCTCATCCCACCCCCCTGAGGTGCCACAGCTCTCTGCATTGCAGAAGTGAGATGGAAATTTACCACATCAGCAAAACACCATTTTCTGTTGAGAGCTGCCTTGGGTGTTGTAGGATTCCTAAATAGAAACTGGCTGAGTGCACAGACATACACGGAAGAAAACACAGATTGTGTGTTTATGTAAAAGGATAAAGCATATGAAGATGATATGACACATCAAGGTCATTTCCAAGTAGCTATCTCTAGATGAGCATTACTGCAGAACTTGCTGCAACAATGGAAACCTGCCATGTGCGTTATCCAGTAGAGTAGCCACTGGTCACACGTAGCTATTGAACCCTTGCAGTGTGACCAGTGCAACCAGGAAAATGAATCTTATATTTTATTGAGTTTAAATAATTTAAATAGCTCCATGTAGCTACAGCATTGGACAGTGCAACTCTAGATAGTTCTGTTCAAGTAATGCATCTACCTAATGTGAAATAAAAACTGGCCAGGGGATCCCTTTGAGAAACCTTACTCCTGGAGTAAGATTCAGTAAGAAGAACCTATTCATAAGTGACACCGCAAAAAAATCCCATAATCTGATAAATGAAGAACAGTTTTGAGTGTGACTCAATAAGCATGTAGTAAGTTAGAGAAACTTCTGTGGAAATTATTTACCATTGTCCTCCAGATTTCAAAACTTCAATTTCAATTATATTTTATATGAAACCCCTTGGACTCTCAAAATTGCCACAAAATATTCTTCTTACAGCAAGCAAATCACAAATATTTATTGTATTTAATATATAGCCTTTCTTAATATTGACCGGTTTGATGTCAATATTTACTGAAAACTTGTAGTATATGAGGTGCTGCAAAAGTTATAAAAGGCATAAATGACATGTCATTTGTCTTATCTTAGGATCTGACTTCTGTGGTGGTTTAAGGAGAATAAATTATTAAGTGAAGAGTATAGCATTCACCCATTAGCTCTGCCTAAAGAGACTCAAGAACCTTCTTGTCTTTCTCTTCTCCTTGTATCCATTCAAGAATGATAGTGAAAAGTCCGAACCATTTTGACAGGGAATAAAGAAATTAGTATAATAAATGAGTCTCATTTTTAACCGGTTGAATTGGCAACTTTTTCCCTTGAAAAGACTCTTAGGAATATGATATAGCAATATTTATGGGGTTTTGAGATTTTGCATTTCAGTTCTACTCCCTAGAATCTAGACAGCCAATTTTCTCACATCAGGGACATGGTCCTAGAAAAGATGACCTTTTTTTTTTTCAGGATCCTCTAAGCAGAGATGATATTCAAAATAGATGACAACCAGTAAGCCATGAACACTGCCCAATTAGAACAGACATTGTATGGGCACTGACCAATCAGAATGGATACAGTATGAGCATAAGCCTATCAAAACACATGCCTAGCTCCACATGGTGCCAGGAAATACCCTTTGATATGGTTTGGCTGTGTTTCCACCCAAATCTCATCTTGAATTGTAGCTTCCATTATCCCCACATGTTGTGGGAGGGACACAGTGGGAGGAAACTGAATTACAGGGGTGGGTTTTTCCCGGGCTGTTCTTATGATAGTGAATAAGTCTCATGAGATCTGATGGTTTTATAAAGGCAGTTCCCTCTTGCCTGCCGCCATGTAAGATGTACCTTTGCTCCTCCTTTGCCTTCCACCATGATTGTGAGACCTCCTCAGTCACGTGTAACTGTGCGTCCATTAAACCTCTTTTTCTTTATAAAATTATTCAGTCTGGGGTGTGTTTTTGTTAGCAGTGTGAGAACAGACTAATACATCCCTTCAGTTAGTTAGTTGTTAGTTTATAAGACAGTCCAGGGTAGGGCTGAATGTGATTTAAGATTATAAAAGCATTTTATAAATCATGGTAGTGTAAGACTTCTCTACCATTTGTTGGATTAGCAAGCAGGAGTGAGGGATGAGAAACGCCATGACAAATGTGCATCTATTACTAAGAATCTGTAAGGAATTCACTAAAATCCTGACACATTTTAAAAGTCAAATTCTACTTTAGCAATAGCATGGTTGAGCTTGAGGGCCTCAAAGAAGTTGCTAATTATAACCAGCATAGAAATCTGCACCAACCAGTTCAGAGCACGGTCAAATCACAGTCTTGCCTCTAGGTTAAATATGAAGGGGTAGAATGAGCAGTGAAATTCACTGACTGTATCTACATGGAAAAAGAAAAATATTTGGCAAAGGCAGCAATTTATTCTTCATAACAACATTCATGTTAACTTTCAATGAGGCGAATGTACAGTCAGCAAAGATAATTGTGAAGATGGGAAGGATTTTTGCCGAAGGCTCTTGTTTTCCTTCTCAGAAAAGGCTTGATTCCTGAACACTGTGATTCTTTAAACTACCACCTGAATAGTGAAGAGTTAAAGGCAATACACATTTTTTGGTGTTTTTATAAATTAAATACTACAATGCCCATTTCCAGTTTTTTCATGGTGTGCAGAGTAGGTGAGGTCCATCCTCTGCAAAGCATAAGCCGTATCTCTTTCATTTGAGGAGATGCAAATAGGTTTGATAAGGGGGCAGATAAAAATGAAGGTCTTCATGTAAATATTCAATCATAAGATATTTAGGAACATGCATATCCATGTTAGAACTGAATCTTACTTTAACTGAGCTCAGTTTTGAAGTCAATTGTAGATTTTTGGTTGACCCTAATTTTTATACTTTTATTTCATTGATAATATGTAATAATACCCCTACATATTAAATATACATAAATATCATCTTCATATGCTTTAAGATAATAAAAACTTTTGAAAGTCATGGTAGAATACAGACTTTCATCTACCATTTGTTGGATTCACAAGTAGCAGTGTTGAGTGTTAAGAAAAAATATGATGAATTTGCAGCTTTTACTTAGTAACTTCATGGAATTCACATAAACCTTGAAACCTCTTAAAAGTCACATTCTACTTTGAAATCTGGAAAAATCAATTCCTTCTCTCACTGTCAAGTATCAGTTCTGATGACTCTGACATCTCCTCTTCAGGTAATGTTGGCAAAGCTGCAGGCCAGTCTCAGGATGGAAAGGAAGGATGTCATCACCGTGTTGTAAATTGTCAGCCAAGTGCTCAGTGGAGCTTGGGGAAGTCTTTGCTATACTACAATTGTATTCCTGACCTCAGGACTGGCCAGATTAAAAGAAGCCTGTGGATGACTTGCTGGCCTGGGTGGTCATTGATCAGCCTCCTGGCAACAGAGGAGGAAAAAAAGTCAGTTTAGTGGGTTGAGATCACTGTAAAATGCATACTTGAAAAGGAAGCTTCACTCATCTGTTAAGATAAAATTAAGGTACAGAGAGGAACAAAAATGTTAAAATAAGCTCTTCCTTTCTTGCATTATTTCCGATAACACACAATATAGAAGTTTTCCAAGTTCAGGTCCTAAAGAGCAATCCAATTCCAAGAATCAGGATTTGTGAAGTTCTTGCTTTACTGACTAGATTTTTTAATGAAAATATAAAATATTTCTAAACTTCTTAAAGAGCATGCATTGTTTCTAGAGGAGGGGGACAAAATTGAAGAACTGACTCCAGATAGATCACCTATCTGTCTCCTTTCCCTATCAGGGAGAAATATAGTCTTCCCTGTTCTCATTCAGAAATATAATCCCAAACCAACCATTTAATCCTCCAGAGTCGCCAATGCCTGTCTCATAACATGGCCCTATTAAAATGTGTGCAACACCTTTTTCCTGCCAGTCCTGAGAATGGCAGCTCAGGTTCCAGGGCACAGAAGCTGCATTTAACATATTAAATAATGTAACTGGGCATGATAAATTATTCACATTGCGATGGAATGCTAGCAAGTCTTGAGGTTAGAATTACTCTGGTTAATGCTTTTAATTTGTTGACTCCTGATAATACAGAGAAAACTGGACAGCAGATGGAACTATGTCAGCAATGCTTTAAGATGTGTGCCTTCTGCTGCGAATATGCTAGAGATTCCTGTGTTGTTTGCTTTTGTTTTCACTGCTGGGTTGTGCAAACATCGCTGTTTTTTAAGTTTATCAAGTATGTATCTGTTTGTTTCAATGAGGGGGTGATTTGTGGGGAAGACTTGATCCAGGTCTCAAGTTGTTCATATGCCCACCTTCCGAAAATGACAGAGACAGAGAATTTCCTAAAACAACCAGAAAAATATACTGACAGTGAGTTAAGGCACAGGACAAAGAGAGGAAAAGGAGGATTCTTTGTTTTAAATATTCACTAAAATACAAAACATTTGCAAATCCCCTGGCTTCATATAAAAATAAAAAAGTATGCCTTTCCCAGTAACTGATCACAAATTTTAGTAAGAATTTCTAATTTTACTTATTACTTTTACCCTGATGTGTTTGAGCTACAGTTACACCCAAATTCACTCTATTTAACCAATAGGGAAACTCTTGTCTAGAAAACCATGTCAGTACTACGTATTCTAACTATAGATTCAGTCATCAGAGAAATAATCAGAGAAGAAAAGTGTCATATTGTGTATGCCAGTTTTGAAAATCACTCTCTTTTTTCCTTCTGACCCTTCTTACAATTTAATCCATGATTGAGTCTCTACAGTCTAGGATTCTACTTTTTCATTTGTGTTTAATGTAATGTGCTTTAGGACCCATCTAAAATACGGAAGGTTTAAATAAGTGTCCCTGGTAGGGTGCCACATGGACAGTGGAGTATTTGGTGTCAAGACCTTTCATTGGGCATTGATCATGGCATCACCATAAGCATCTCAAACTCTTCTCTGTGCTTTGCGGCAAGGTCAGTGGAGCAGGAACATGAGGTGCAAGTCATTCTCAATGCACAGTTGCAGGAAGACTTCTAGATATCAGAGAACACATTCCCTTAGAAACAATGCTATACATGTCTGTGGGGTTTTCACCCTGGGACAAAAAGCAGATCACCTCAAAGCAGATCACCTGGAGAATCTGATAAAAATACTCATTCTTTGGCCCTATTTCCTAGACAGTCTGATCCAGAAAGTCTGGCGGAGGCCCAAGAGTGTGCATTTTAACAAGTACCCAGTGTGTTCCTGGCACAGAGCTGTACTGGGAGCTGCTGCTACACCAGCAGGGTACCAAGGCAGAGGTATTTATAGGCACCGGGTGCACCTCCGTGATCAGCAAGCATTCTTTGGGAAAACTGGAATAGAGAATTCAGGAAATACATCCACCATTTCTGCCAGGTGGTGGCAAGAACAAGAACTGCCCCATTTCTTGAGCAGGAAGTCTCATGTTCAGGGAAGAAATTGGCAGGAGAGGGTGCTTAGAGATGGAGATGAGCAGAAGAGGGAGCTCCAGGCAGCCTGGGGGCCAAGAGTTCCAGGAACTGGTGCCTCTTCCCATTGTCTACAACCCAGCGTCCTCCTGAGGACCCGGCCTATGTCAGCCATTGTGCCTGTAGTTCCTGGCCACAGTGCCTGGTCTTTGGTGGGTCAAAACTCCAACCCCAGCCTGTCTCCCATGACACTGCTCCTGAGACATGCCCCCACTTTTCTGAAGTTTTCTAAGGATTCCAGGCACTGAAAGCATCAGGTGATAACTAAGGGTTTGAAAACATGGTTTCACCACTGCATCTTGTCTTGCTCGTCTCCATGGCTGTGTGTGCTCTTGGCATGCTGGCCCTTAACTGAAAGGATGCCAAAGGGGCAGGAGTTAGGGAGGCTGGGGCAGCAGCAAATTCTGTCCTTTCCTAAAATATTCAAGTTCTAGTTTCCTGTTTTAGTAACTGTTGGATGTTATTAAAATTGAGCTGGGTGATTCATGACAAAGATGCCGTATGCAGAGACCCACAGCAGCCTTGAGATGTAGACACAGATGTGTACAACTCAGGGAAGAGAGCTGGAGGGTTGTCACATTGAAGGTGGCGGTACAAGTAACCTGGAAACCTGCTGCTCCTCCTAACGCCAGAGACCACCCTGAGCTGGGTGCCTTCCTAGACTCCGGACTCAGTGTCCAGACACTTCTCTGCTTGCGGACATACAGCTAACTCCCGGCAGAGAGAGCAAGAGCACGGGCACCACCAACCCCAGTAGCACCCACTCCAGGTGGGTAAGCACGGGCCATTATGAAGGCCTCAGGATGCTGAGCAAAGCGAAATCGCTGAGTCCCTGTCGGGCAGGGTGAAGCTATGGAGGAGGCAGACTGGTGCTTGGGGACCTGCCACTCTTCCCTTTCCAAAACTCCTGATTCACCTCTTGCTATAAGGTAACCAATAACCCTTAAGTCTAGCCACACTGAGTTGACCTAAAAAGCAGAGCTGCTTAAACACCTCCTCAGCCCTCTGAGTCCTGATGTCTAGAGGGGAAGACCATGAATCTGGACTTCCCAAGGGCCTCATCAACGACCTGTGGGCCAACCCTGGCACATCAAATTTCCCCATCCTGGGGGCGTATTGAAGCAATGGACCCCTGGAGAAAACCAAAGTGCTCCCAATCACAAAGGAGTGGGAAGGCAGTTTGATATGAAATTATTTAACTTTTCTAAATGACCCAAAACATGATGCTATTTTTAGGTTGTATATTCATCTATAGTGATCTAATCATAGTTTTGTCATAACCGATTGGGATTAACAGCAAAGGAATTAGGGGTCAGGTGCAGTGGCTTATGCTTGTAATCCCAATGCTTTGGGAGGCCCATGTGGGAGGATCGCTTCAGGCCAAGAGTTTAAGAACAGCCTGGGCAAATAGTGAGACCCCCCATTCCTACAAAAAAAAAAAAAAAGTTTAAAATTAGCTAGACATGGTAGCAAGTGCCTGTAGTTCTAGCTCTTCGGGAGGCTGAGGCAGGAGGATCCCTTGAGCCCAGGAGTACAAGGTTACAATGAGCTATGATCATGCCACTGCAATCCAGCCTGGGCAAGAAAGCAAGACCATGTCTCAAAAAACTTTTTAAAAGGCCGGGCACGCTGTCTCACGCCTCTAATCCCAGCACTTTGGGAGGCTGAGGTGGGCAGGTCACCTGAGGTCAGGAGTTTGAACCCAGCCTAGACAACATGGTGAAACCCCATCTGTACTAAAAATACAATTAGCTGGGCAAGGTGGCAGGCACTTGTAATCCCAGCTACTCGGGAGGCTGGGGCAGGAGAATCACTTAAACCCGGGAGGCAGAGGTTGCGGTGAGCCGAGATCACGCCACTGCTCTGTAGCTTGGGTGACAGAGCAAAACTCCATCTCAAAAAAAAAAAAAAAAAAAGCAAAGGAACTTTGCCTATCTGCACATGCATGCACCTTATAGTACCTTGCTTGTGACAGCGTAATGCTCGGCATGGAAGGTATTCTCCACTTTAATGAGTAACTATTTATTGAGCACCTAGAAATGCTGGACTAGCCTGTGTGTAGTCAACAGTCATCCATTAGTTAAGTCCTCCAGAAATTGCTGAGTGTTAACAGATCACCAGTTTCAGCAGCAGAGAATGCAGCGTAAGCAGAGAGCAAGTGTATGTGATCAGAGTTGCCCTCCTGTTCACAAAACCGACTATCCTGCTCTGCGATCTATGAAGACAAAGCAGGAGCTTTAGTTGCTATTGTGCCTGCCGAGTCTCCATGGATAGGCCATTTATCTGACCCAACTAGCTCTTCAGCAACCGTGATCGTGATCGGAAAAGCATTTGCGTCAGGCTGGCTCACAGCTTGAGATCTTTCCGTCTAATCTACAGGCTTTTCAGGACCTGAGCTTCATGCGGGGTGTCTGCAAAATAGTGCAATCTGTAGTCAACAACCCTGAACTCTAACAAGCCGGCTTCTCGGGCAGGAGCCCTGCTGGGCCCCAGCTCTGGGCCTGGGAGGCCTGTGTGCGGGAAATATGCGGCAGCAGCGCGGGAGGCTCTGACAAATTGGAGTCATACTGAGGCATGCGGAGAGAAGGATGAAAGGAACACTGAGATGGCGCTCTGAATAGCTCTCAGCTGCCTCTCTTGGGCCCTATAAGGAACTAAGGCTTATTGCAGAATGGAGAAAGTTTTGAGAAAAGAAGGCACAGTTGCACTGTTTTCACACCTTGGAACAAGGAATTCAGAATTCGGAGGTTCTCATCAGCCCACACAGCAAGAACCTGGCGACAGAGGCCTGGCAGGGCTGCAGGGCCTGGGGAAGTTCTTAAAGGGAACCTCTGTGCCAACGTCACCTTGACTGCTTCTACAAGCTGTGGCTTTGCCGTTCTGGCAGCTCTCAAGTGGCCAGTTGACCACAACAAGGTCTATGTCTTCTCTGGACCAAGGAAATGGAAGGGAACGGCTGTGTCCCCAGGCCCAGCCTTTCCCCTGTGGCCCATTTTGCTCATTCCTCCTCTAAGTGCCTCCCAGGAAGCATGGCCCACGGTACATCCTGTATCCAGGCTCTCCAAATGGGCAACATGGAGGCCGTGCCTGGGCCCATGACTGCAAAGTCCTTCTTTGGTCATAATCAAAGATAGACCTCTTCTTTAGGACTTTGTCCTAAAGTCCCCCCACAATGAGTAGAAAGATCCAGTTATTTAATACCCCTCACTAGTTTCTGGCCCAGCCAAAGATAATTCAACTTCCTAGAGTCCTGATTTGTTTCTTAAGGGCCTCGGCACTCTCTGATGAGGTGCCCGGCTCCCCTAGAAGACAACAAACCCTTCAGGAAATAAGAAACATGAGGATATGTTACCAGTCCCCAGGGCTCAGCACCTCGAGGGTCACTGTTCTTTTTCCACCAATTGATTATTTAGCTGGGTACTTGTTTCAGTAGCAGAAACCTCTTAAGTTTCTCTCCCTGCGTATGTTCAAAAGAACACTACAAGCATCAAGAAGCATCACTCCGAGCTCCAAAACGTCATTCTCCACTCGGGTATCCAAATGCACCTCACGTTCCCCTTCCTCCTCATTCATACTAGATGTATTTCAAAGAGAATTACATGCCATGACCCTATTCTGAATCTCCTCTCAGCTTATACCCTCCCCACAGCACCAGACCTGAATACCTTTGCTTGTCTGATAGAAACACACTTCATAGACAAAGATAACCACACAAGGGCTGTGGAAATCATGGTTGGCTTAAATGTGCTCTTGGCTGTCCGTGCTTGGAGCTGGGGTGGAAGAGAGCCCTCAGCCAGCCACCTCAGAGCCCGACAATTACTCCCTTCCACCGCTACCTCTCACTCAGAGACTGGTCCTTCTAAAGGAAACCTGTTTGCGTCACCTTCCCTTCCAGCTCCAAATTAAATGCATCAAAAGATATATGCAAATTAAATGCATCAAAAGATTTCCATCAGGGCCAAAGAGAGCGGTCCTGATGGAAAAAAACATTACCTCTCCATTTTCCTGACACCCAGCCTGAGGAAAGTCACTGGAACTTGTACCGGGAGCTAACGATTTGTTACTCAGGCACAGCTTCCTTTACGCCCCAGGCCCCTCATATGTCTTGTTGTCTGGCTACCTGTGTTGACACTAATATTAATAGTATCATCTTAGGTTTCCCAGTACATGACTGAGCATCAATCAGCCCTCCCTTTCTCCCTCCAGGCCTGAAAAACGCACATCACTTGCAAGATGTAGGTTATTGAGCTGAATCCCAATTGCAGGGAGGAATATTATTTCCTAGAACTCCCTGGAAACTCAGGTAAATACTTGTGCCAAGAAAGAATGATCAGGGGCCGCACAGGCACCTGCTGAGCACCGTCCCCTCAGGTAAAGCAGCTCCTAACAGAACAAACCCAACCCATCTGGCCCAGTGTGCTATCCGAAACCCAGTCTGCAAGTTTACCTTTTCCAAAAGCTAAAAGAAGATAGCATCTATACTTATTGGGGACAAAAATCACAGAATCGCATTGAAATACTTCTTGTTCGAAGCTGCATTTGTACAGGTCAGAAAGGGGTGTTGGTTATATATATTCTACCTAATTTATGATTTGGGATATAAAATGAACTGTAGGCCGGGCGCAGTGGCTCACACCTGTAATCTCAGCACTTTGAGAGACTAAGGCGGGCGGATCACAAGGTCAGGAGATCGAGACCATCCTGGCTAACACGGTGAAATCCCGTCTCTATTAAAAATACAAAAACCTAGCCCAGCGTGGTGGTGGGTGCCTGTGGTCCCAGCTACTCAGGAGGCTGAGGCAGGAGAATGGCATGAACCCGGAAGGCGGAGCTTGCAGTGAGCCAAGATTGTGCCACTGCACTCCAGCCTGGATGACAGAGCAAGACTCCCCTCAAAAAAAAAAAAAAAAGAACTCTAATTCGTTCATGTATGATAACCAATGCTGACTCTACATCAGCAAATTAACATACTATGTTCTCAGTGCTGCCAGTTGACCGTTTACTTTAAGTGAACCATCCTGTGAAAAGACAGCTCCCATCGAAACATTGCCAACCAACCAACCAGTATGTATAGCTAGTACCTCTCCCTGGAACTGCAGACTGGTGAATTTAACTACATTTCTAGTATCTCCATGTGGACATCTAACAGAGACCTTAGAATCTACAAGCTCCAAATTAGATGTCTGATCTTTCCCCCTAAACTGCTCCTTCCATAACATTCCTTATCTAGGTTAATGGCAACTCCAGCCTCTTAGCCATTGTGGCCATATTCCTTAACCATCAAGGATTCCTCCTCTCTCCCCTGAAATTCTAACCCCGACAGGATTTTTTCAGCCCTCAAGCTTATCAGCATAGAACTTGCATGCAGAGCAAGCCACGTTTTCTCTGTCCTGATCCTCAAACCCAGTACATCCTTCCATGAGCCCAAAGACCCCAAGGGTCCAAGTACAGATGAGCACCACGTGGGAGCCGGGTAACCAGGAGAGCAGAATGGACTTGAGTCCTGGGAGAACATGGCTCGACGAGAACAAATGGCACATTATATATGCTGCTCACTCTTAGGCCAACTCAGGCGGATATGTCCCAAAGCAAGTCACATCCTCCCAAAATGTGAACCCAGAGCTGTTACCCAGAACCAGCCCTGATCTTGGAGCCACTGCTACTGAGGGCAAGAAACAGTCCATGTCTCAGCCCCATCTCTCCACGCTGACCAACTGATGCGGAGGGGAGGAAAGGCAACGTGCCGCCATCATGAATGCACAACGTGCACCATTTTAGAATCACCCACCACAAGGTAAGAATTTTCAAATGGCCAAAAAAGTCCAAAAAGGGGGGAAATGGTCTAAACCACCTGTCAAGGGGGGCCACAGCTACTGCTTCTTTGTTCAGGATCACTGGATTCACAGAATTTTGGAGGGGGAGAAGCGGTTTCTGCAATAAAAGAACAATTTTAGAGTCATTAAGGGGCAAAAACCAAGCTGTGTGCTCTAACAATTCTGATTTATAAAGAAACACATTTGCTTTTATGTAGTACCCCGGCATAATCCTTAACCATAAACACTTGTTTTAAATTCCCTTGAGATCTCATCCCTTTAGAACGTTATTTCCTTAAAGAAATAAAAATATGGAAAACTAACTCAAAATCAATTTATTTCTCGACACATTAGTTTCACCCAGAGACAAAATGATCTAAAGCTTCAATAGCTGATCAACGAAGATAAATGCCAGACAAATGGAGATAGAAGAGACAGAGATGTTTGATTTGGGCCATGATTTTTGTCAAGATAATTAATTGCTCAAAATATTAATGAGTAAATATTCACTCACAGGAACCTGCAAGAAGCTGTGGTCAGATTATCAAAGGAAACAGTCCATGCTCTCTGGAATTTTTTTAAATCTGAAAGATGCAATCTAGAATACACATGGGAGGCAGCCATGGTAAAATCAAAAAAATGGGGCTGCTGAAAATAGAGATCCAATTTTTGTGGAAAACGAAGGTGTTTAGGCCCTTCAGTAAGAATCGATTGGCTGAAAACCTTCCCATGGAATTTGGTGTTCCCAGCAGCCCGTGAGGGCAGCTGTCCCATTCATCCCGCAGAGCAGGGTGTGTTCGGCCCTCAAAACTCGACTGCTGCTGCTTCCTGGTGACACTGTCTTAGAGATGGCCTCATCCCATTATCACTCTGTATTGTCTCATGGCAAGAAAATGAGATACTACAGCAAGACTCTCCAGAGAGGGTCTGGTTTTCCAGCATTCCCAACACCCTGTTACATTCAAGGGGAACAGATCTCTTACTTGATTCTACTTGAAATTGGGAGGAAGTTACCCCCGATGTATTAAAATACCTCCCCACATGTTTTAATGTAGAGGGCTTTAAACAAAAAAGAAAGCATGGGGAAAAAAACAAACTTTTTTAAAGGTTTCAAGGTTCTTCCTCACTTTATTTTAAGCATTAGACAAATAGGTGGATTTTTACTGTGAACCTACTCCTAGAATATTCCAAGTTCTAGAATTTCTTCTAAAATTTATCCAAAAAATAATAACCACCATTGTCAAGTTGTCCTCCCTGTGCAGCTGGTATCTAGCAAGCCAGCCCTTCTTCCAGTTTTCTCTTTTCCAGGTCTTTCTACCACCCCCTCTTGTCTACTCACCTGTGGTCTTTGGTGCATCTGAATTGTAGCCAGAGTTTTCATTTCCACTTTCTGTCTTAGTTTCTTTGTTTGTCTTCTCTTTTTCAGATTTCCTACAATTAGACCATTTTATGTTCATGTTAATTGTTTTTTTTTTTGTTTGTTTGTTTGTTTTTTTGAGACGGAGTCTCGCTCTGTCGCCCAGGCTGGAGTGCAGTGGCCGGATCTCAGCTCACTGCAAGCTCCACCTCCCCGGTCGACGCCATTCTCCTGCCTCAGCCTCCCTTGTAGCTGGGACTACAGGCGCCCGCCACCTCGCCCGGCTAGTTTTTTGTATTTTTTTAGTAGAGACGGGGTTTCACCGTGTTAGCCAGGATGGTCTCGATCTCCTGACCTCGTGATCCGCCCGTCTTGGTCTCCCAAAGTGCTGGGATTACAGGCTTGAGCCACCTCGCCCGGCCCTTCATGTTAATTGTTGACATTAACATTGCTAAACGTTAATTGGCAATGGATACCTACGTAGTTCACATGGTTACTCTCAAGAGTATGCTTACATGTGGAACTTCACACAGGCAACCTATAGCTCTGTCACTGTATGGCAGGTGTAGACGTCTGCCTATTCACACATTCCCATTATGGGGAGAGATGAAAGCTTATCATGGTCCATGGACTCCACTCCCCAGTTGCTACTCAACTCTCAGAAACCATTCACCAAATAACGCAAGAGTCAGCAAACTATGTGACCCACAGACCATATCTGACCCACCCCTTGTTTTTGTAAGTAAAGTTTCATTGGAACACGGCTACACCTGTCAGCTCACATATTGTCTACGACTACCTAAACATGTAGCCATAGTCATGTTATAACAGCAGAGTTGAGTCCTTATGACAGAGACCATATGGCTGGCAAAACTAAAAATATTTACTATGAAGCCCTTTATGGAAAAAGAGGTGCCAACTGCTGAAATAAAGCAAAAGTCGGTGCAGCCTCCTAGGGTTTGGAGGCTGGAAGGAAGTCTGGCGATGGATAGCCAAAGAATTTAAAATAGTCATACTTGACCTCTAAGGACGTATGCGAGGGAAACAGTCAAGGATATGTACAAATATGTACTTGAAAGAATGTTGATTTGTGAGCTATTTATAAAAGCAAACCGCAGACAACCAAGTGCCCAATCAGGAGGGACTTTTAAATAAATGATGATAGTTCTCTAACATGGAATTCCAGGGCACCTGTCAAAATGATTACATATGAGAGCTCTCACACACTGCTAGCGGGAGTGTAAGCCTGTACACCTTCTTTGGAAACATGTGACACCGTCTAAAGCTGAAGATATGCTACCTTCTGGCCCAGCTTTTAGGACTAGATACAGTCTCCCTTGGTATTTGTTAGGGATTGATTCCAGGACCCCTGCAGATACCAAAATTTGCAAATGCTCAAGCCTCTGATATAAAATGGTGTAGGATTTGCATATGCATATAACCTACACACAACCTCCCACATACTTTGAGTCATCTCCCGATCCTTTATAATACCTAATACAATGTAAATGCTATGCAAATAGTTGTTATACTGTACTGCTTCTTTATTTTGTATTATTTTTTACTGTTACTATTTTTTTTTTCAAATATTTTTGATCCATAGTTAGTTGAATCAGAGGATGTGGAACCTGCAGATATAGAGGATCAGCTGTATTCTGTTTGGTCAGAACCAAACAGACATGAGTACTTATGTTCACCAAAAGACTCCTACCATAATACTCAGAATAGTTGTTGTTTTTGTTGTTCTTGTTGTTTCTTGGTGACAAGGTCTCACTCTGTCACCCAGGTTGAGTGCAGTGGCGTGATCTCGGCTCACTGTAACCTCTGCCTCCTGGGCTCCAAGGATCCCCCCAAGTCAGCCTCCTGAGTATCTGGGACTACAGGAAAGCACCAACACACCCGGCTAATTTAGTACTTTTTGTGGAGATGGGGTTTTTCCATGTTGTCCAGGCTGGTCTCCAACTCCTGGGCTCAAGGGCTCCACCGCCTTGACCTCCCAAAGCACTGGGACTACAGGAGTGAGCCACCGTGCCTGGCCGGAGCATTAGTGTTTGCAATGGTCCCAACCTGAAAACTATTCAAACACCCATTTAAAGCAAAAAGTAAAAATACATTGCATATGTGCCCAGAATGTAATATTACATAATAATGAACCACTGACACCCACGTGCCATGGTATGGATCAGCCTCACAGTGAGAGGCTCGAGAAGGCAGACGTAAATGAGTGTACACAAAATGACACCATTGATACATGCCCCTCATCTCTGGGGATGTGGGAAAAATGTCAGAAGAATGTCACCTTTGGAGAGGAGGGGTAGGCAGCGATTTGACAGGGGTCTAGGAGACTTTAGGGATGCTGAGGATGTTCCAGCTGTGAATTTCAGCCATCAAGCCCAGGCGTTTGTGCTTTTTGCGAAACCTGATCAAGCTACACACCTGCCACTTGTGCACTTTTCTGTACTATCTGTATCTATCTAAAACTATCTTATACTTCTTCTGTACTTATAAGTATCTATCTAAAACTATCAAACAAGACAAAAATGCTGTGTGCAAGTATTTGTTAATAGAAATAATCTTCAGAACGTGCCAAGTGAAAAGAGCAAGCCCTATGGAATAATGGTTACTATGATCCAAATTTCACAAAATGCTTTGTGTGCATATCTGTGGGTATATACATGAACTATGTATGTAGGTACACACATAGCTAGTTAACAATAATTTCTTTGGAACTATAGAAGTGTGGGTGATTTTTTAAAAACTATTTCTTGTGCCTATCTTTATATTTATTTTTTTCTAAAATAAACATGCATTGATTTTTTTTCTATAATAAACATACAACTCTCTCTATATATATTATTTTAATTATTTTAATGCAAAAGAAATCCTTGAGCAGCTGGAGCGAGCACCATGGACATCGTGAAAGGGGAAAGCAAGGGGGTTGGATTATCCAGTGGGCAACCCCCATTGTCTTTCTGGAGCTTAATGCAGTCTCGCCTAACTTTAAGGGCTGCATAGAGGAGGGCCCAAGCCCTGAGTCAGGTCCACCCAGTTCACATTCAAAAAACTCTACAAAGCATGCAGCAGTGAGTACCTGGCATGTACATCAGGCACTCAAGATATACTAGCTTTTCTCATGCGCCCAGTGTCATTATTCTACAGTTGTTGTTATCCTCTACCCATTATCCCGACTAGCTATTGATCACTTTGCTGTGCTTTCAAATCACCTAAGACCCCAGAGAACAGAAATGGAAGACGTTGGCACAGTCAACAACGGTGAACCAAGAGTCCAGGCTTCCGTTCTGCCAGTAGTAGCAATCAAGAGAAATGCCAGAATCATTATCAGGGTCCATTTTTCTTCCTCTTCCCTTGCACTAAGTCAGGCCTCAAAGGAGGAATATTTTCGGATTGCTGCTTGGTGGTGTCCTCTCTCCGAACTTTGCGATCGCCAGGGATCAGAGGGAGAAGGGATAGCCTTTGCCACACGAGGATGGTGCACATTCATTCACAGAATGTAGCCAAAGGGTGTTTCAGAATCTCAGCACTTAAAACTGTAAATATTCTAATAAAATACTGATAACTACATGTGTTCTTATATTACCCACAAGAAACAACAGCTGTCTAAAAAACCCTCCCCTTGGTGCACATATGGCTATGTTAATACTGCAGACATTTAAAAGGGTTACTGGCTACTTATTATAAGTCCTTGACACAGTTACCTTAAAAGTGCTTGCAGCTACTTCTGGGCAGCCTGGGAAGGAAAGGAATTTTTCAGTCCTGTCCACTCCCCGTGGCTGAATGAGCACCGAACACTGCCTAATTTGTCTGCCTGGACAGTTTCACGTGCCTTGCAGGCATCCGCTTGGCTCACTGCTCTCCACTACCCCAGAAATTCCAGCGGGACCTCTGCTGGTGGCCCTGGCCTCCACCCAAAGCAGGCAGGATGACAGTCATGGTGCACAGTGTCCTCTTGTGGAAAGAGTTGCAAATGGCAGACACTAAGAAAATCTCCATTTCCCTAAGTGAACCAGAGCAAGTCAAAGGTAGGCAGTGGCAACCCACCATTTCATTCCACAGTTAATGTTGCCCTATGAGTTTGTGATTGGCATACGTGTTTTTCAGCATTGTCTACTTTCAGTACTTAATTTTGGATAATATAAATCCGAAACTCCCACAGTTGTGTGTATGTATTGTTGTTATTATTGTTGTTCAATTTTTTTTTTTTCAGAAAATAGATGTGGTTTCAAACTTACCTTTGAAATTGAATACGAAATCCTGCAGAAAAGAACAAAATTACATTAGAAAAATCAGGATGGTTTCCAGCTGCATCCATGTCCCTACAAAGGACACAAACTCATCCTTTTTTATGGCTGCATAGTATTCCATGGTGTATTCTCAGCAAACTATCACAAGAACAGAAAACCAAACACCGCATGTTCTCACTCATAGGCGGGAACTGAACAATGAGATCACTTGGACTCGGGAAGGGGAACATCACACACCGGGGCCTATCATGGGGAGGGGGGAGGGGGGAGGGATTGCATTGGGAGTTATACCTGATGTAAATGACGAGTTGATGGGTGCAGCACACCAACATGGCACAAGTATACATATGTAGCAAACCTGCACGTTGTGCACATGTACCCTACAACTTGAAGTCTAATAATAATAAATAAATTAAAAAAAAAAAAAGAAAAATCAGGATACTTATTCTAAAAATCGAGTCCCATTAATTTTTATAGACTCCCTTATTTTAACAGACCTAACGTTAGTATTTGTGACCCAAAGGGTATTATTTTTTCCCATACCAAATTATCAAATGACTTCCAAGCATAGGAGAGTAGAATTCACTGTTAACTATTAGAAAAATAAATAACTCCTAGGTACCTGAAATATAGACTATATAGTACTTACTATATTTCAGATACCTAGGGGTATTTACTTATTACTTTATGAATATTGAATTTGATTAGTGAGACTATAAAGACTCCATATGCCAAGAAAAGATGTTCTGTGTTACCAATCACTGCTGCTCTTCATTCAATTCTTACCGTGTGCCAGCACCAGGCAGGCTCTGTACAAAGTACTAGCTCATTTAATTGTTACAATAACTCAAAAGTAGGTGTTACTGTTTTAACAGACTAGACACTATTATATTAATATTACCATATTTCTTTAATTCAAAGATACATTTTCAATCAATATGTACCAATAGTATCAACTGATACAGTTGTGCCCCCACCCCAACAACAACAACAAAAAACAAAACAAAACAAAAAAACTGTCATTAAATTGCTAATGTTTTTAGTCAGTGGATCCATAGACTGACTAGAAGGAATCTATTTTGAGCTATGTACACATTGTGAAATGATTAAAGCAAGCTAATTCATATAACCATCATCTCACATATTCATCGCTATTTTGTGGTGAGAATATCCAAGATCTATTCTCTTAGCAATTTTCAAGTACACAATACATCATAATTAATTACAATCATCATATTGTACAGATCTACAGAATTTATTTTTTCTGTCTAATTGAAACTCGTACCCTTCGACCAACATCTCCCCAACCCCCATTCCCACTCCCTGGTAATGCCCACCATTCTACCTCCTGTTTCTAGAAGCTTGGCTTTTTTAGATTCCACCTATAGTGGAGATCATACAATACTTGCCTTTCTGTGTCTGGCTTATTTCACTTAGCATAATGTCCTTTAGGTCTCTCCAGGGTGTAGCAAAGGACAGGATTTTCTTCTTTTTGAAGGCTGACTAGTGTTCCATTGTGTCTATATGCCACATTTTCTTTGTCTATTCATCTACGGATGTACACAGGTTGATTCCATATCTTGGCTATTGTGAACAGTGATGTAATGAACATGGGAATGCAGATATCTCTTCAATATGAAGACGTCATTTCCTTTGGATATAGACCCAGGAGTGGGATTGCTGGATTATAGGATAGCTCTATTTTAATTTTTTTGAGGAATCTCCATAGTGTTTCCATAAAAGCTGTAACAATTTACATTCCCACCAACAGTGTGCAACCACAGCTGCGCCAACGCCTGTTATCTTTTGTCTTTTTTATAATAGCATTCTAATAGAGGTAAAGTGACATTGTGGTTTATCTATCTTTTGAAAGAGCTGATGAGTTCATTAACTTCAACTGCTTGTACCAAAAGTTCAGAGGTATGTACAAATGTAAATGAACAAAAAAGTTACCTCTTTTTCTTCTGCAGCAGAAACAACGGCAGCAGCATTTGCAGCCACAACAGCGGCAGCAGCCGCAGCGTATTGTAAGAGCACACGTCAGCGTCAGAAGCATGGTGCCTGCTAATCCAAGTCCAACTTTGCCCCAAGTAGGCAATGAAAAACCTAAGCCTGGTAAGCTTGATAATATACCTGGAATATTAATACCGCCTCCGGTGCCTAAAGGAGAAAAAAGATATATTTTAGTGATACTTGCACTGCCTAGAATCACAGATTCTGCCCCATTACAAGTTGCATTATGTGTTCTAGTAATATTGTAACCATTCAGCCTGCTATGGCTAGGCGTCATAGGCCAGGCTTCTTTCAATGTGTTTAATTATTCAATACTCTACAGTACCTTCCATCACAATATTTATTTCTGCCAGTAAACAACTTCTTAGTAACCCAGTCTAGGTGTTGGTTGTTTAATGTCTCTAATATCCCTGAAAGGTAGATAAGGCAGGGCTCGGCTGACAATCCCCTGAGGCTGGCATAGTGATGGTCACGTTTGACATCCTTTATTTAATCAAGGAAACTTTTTGAGCACAAAAATGGACAAGACTGGAATAAAGACATTTTGTTCTCCCTTCCAAGTCCCCACTCGTTGAGAATCCAGAGCCCACAGGAAACCAGGGTATTTTGAGGGAGGGTCACTTCTAAAGGAACTTAGGTTCATGGCTTTCACCCTTGCCCCATCCAACTCCCTGACTCCTCAGATTCATTCCTCACAGAGTAATTGCTTTTTCCATAGCTTTTCAGGAGGCACCTTCCTTAGTATGTATGTTTCCCTCTTATGTTACCTAGTAGTCATGGAGGCGGCAGGAAAAAAGGGTAAAGTGAGGCAGAGCAATCAGAAAGCAAGATGGATGTAGGGAGAGAAGGACAGAGGAAAAAGCCATTTTGATTCTTTTCCACCATGTCTTAGGCAGAGCTGTTGTGGCTTCACACGATTATCCTAATTCAAATTTAAGTTAATTAAAAGTATGAGTCATTAAATATTCAGTGCCTCAGTTGCACTAGCCACATTTCAAGTGCTCAGTCACCACAGATGTAGAACATGTTTATCATCACAGAAAGAGACAGTATGGGAATTACACTGATGTTCCAGGAGAGAGTTTTCATCCAGCCCTTCGCTTCTCCCTAGCGCACCATGCTGACGTCAAACCACACACATTTAAGTTGATCTGTTTAATTGTGAATTGCTATTCAATGAAAGGCTGTCACTCAACCCTGTGTGCTTGGGTGGTATCTTAATGTAAATGCACGCTATTTCGGTTCTAGAGAACCCCAATATAGGATGAATGGATGGATGGATGAATGGATAGGTGGGTGGGTGGGTGGATGGATGCATGGGTGGGTGGGTGGGTGGGTGGATGCATGGATGAAGGGAAAGATTAAGAAACAGTTCTCAACCCTGCATGCTTGGGTGGTATATTAATGTAAATGCATGCTATTTCATTAGATACTAGTCATTAGAAAATATTGAAACAGGAACATGGGGTTTGCCTTGAAATCAATGGCCATCCACCACTTTGGAACCAGAGACTAGAGTTCAAAAGCAGCTCTTAGATGTTCCTCCTTATAATTTTCCTGGAAAATTGACTGTGCAATAGTAGTTGGCTATTCCTGTGTTGAAGTTAAATGACTCTACATGGAGAAGAGAAGTCTATGCACCAGGCAGTCAGCTGCAGCTGAACCAGGTCTAGGGATCACCTTTCTCCCCATAGTAAGATGCCCAGAGCAGAACTGTAGGATTGTAAGGAAGTCAAACTACTTTCCTAACGCTGTCTGTCTCCACCTCTCCCACCATCCAAGATGAGCTGGAATAGATAGAGACTTGTAAAGGGTTCTCCCAAAAATGGTGAAGACGGAAGGAATAGAATACACCCTTTTCATTCCACACCTTCCCAGAGTTGAAGCACTGACACAAGGCAGACCCTTCGCCTGCAGAGGAGCACATTTATCCCCTTGCTCCACAGACAGCAGAATCCCAAGCATCACCTAGAATATCACTGCACATGCAGATTGAAAGCCCACCTCAGGGGACACAGAGTCAGGATATCCCGAATGATACCCCCATGATTCTGAGGCAGACAGTCGATGACCCACATTTTGGGGATCCCTTGTATGCAGACAGAATGTAAACACTGCCCAAGCTACCCACGACATGACAGGATGCTCTCACACTCCCCCTCCCACAGATGTGATAATAAAATGATGAAGTCCAGAGTTGCATCAATGATCTTCACAGTCTTGAGTTGGAGGTTGGACCACCATGTGGGAGGTTTGTGACTGAGAAAGAACTTTAGGTTTCCTGTGGATGGAACCAGTCAAATCTCATGACCAGCATTTCTTGCTGCATTACCTTTGGCCTCTGGCTCACTTGCCAATAATGACTCCTATCCCACCAGGCTGTTCAAGGGTGTGTGTGAAAGTTCTGAGAATGCTGTAAGTTACAGCGCACAGGCTCCAGTTGGCAGTGGTCATCCTAGTTCCAATTTAATGGACTCTTACTAACTGAAGTTTGCAAATATAACAAGTTTTCTTAATAAGGGAGCTGGCTGGGGTTAACCAATGAGGTCTGGCTCAAGATTTAAGAGACAGGCTTGAAATTCTCACTGACACAAGACAGTATGCTTGTGGACTTACTCACACACTCCCTATCGGTAGACTTTTCTTCCCCTACTAGACAGAAACATGAGCGTGCCAAACTTCCTGAATCTGGACGTGACATTTCCTCTAATCTAGCACAGAGACGGCCTGCCTTAATCTAGCACAGAGACCCTGCCTTATTTTCAGGGAGTGCATGTTGAACAGAAGGGAAGGGATATTTTGCTGGGGGTGGTGACTGAGTCAAGGGAGAGACTGAGGGCCAGAGGGACTTTAAACACTCTTTTGTCCCTTAATTTAACCACAAAGTTCAGAAAGTGATGCCTGCATTCAGTTAAAAGCCCCAAACGCTGACCAAAATGGAGCTGGTATTAGGAACCATATCACTTACTCTTTCGCTTCCTATTTGTTGTGACCACACTCCAGTGGAAGGCAAATGTTCCAAGGAGTTCTATGCCTAGGTGAGACTTAAGCTGAAGTCTCCCTTTAATCCAGTGGAGCCCAAAGTGTAGCGTATAAGTCAGCAAGAGGCATGATTTAGTGCTGGGGCTACACAGAGAGCCCTTTCTTATTTTCATAACCATTTCAAGTTTATCATGTATAACACATATATTATGTGTATATACATAAGTATGCCCACATGCATGGATATTTTTGTTTAGTATGGGGCTAATTTTTTTTAAAAAGAGTGCATTTACTGTAGATTGAAAAATAGATGGTAGCCATATATTACTGACAAATCAAAAATCTGACAGTGGACAGAAAACAGACTCTTGGAATGATGTCATCCATAATCCAATTTTCATGCAGACAAGATGCTCAGGACAGAGGAACTAAGTAAATGGCACAGGGAGCCCAGAACAGGAAGCCACAGGGCTCCTGGCTCATATCTTTCCATCCTGCCATGTGTTGTCTCCAATGTAGAATAATCCTTCTGAGGAAAATATGGCCCAGAGGTGACATAAATATCTTTGCATAAAGTCTACAGCGGGGTGCTGGTCTGTGCCTTGTAACCTCTGGGGGGTGTGGGTGTGCCTGGCTCAGGTGAATGGCGGGTGTGCTAGAGAGGATGAGCATACTAGAGCTAAATAGTGACTAACGAAGATGAGCTCCAAGGTCAACGCCGCTTGCCTTTCCCCCTACGCTCCTTCACACCACTGTGTGCTTGTTAGGGCCTCATTACTGACTTTACCATGTGCTTTAACCTCTGCTTGGAGATTGTCCTTTTCCCATCTGTGAAGACAAGGAAAATAGCATTTCCCAGATGCTCTCAAAGGAATGCATAGAGGTTTTAAAAGGTATAGAATTTCTTGAAACCGAATGTATTAATATAAAATGTCACCACCACCATGTGCCAAGTACATATGAATACCAAACGTCACCACCATCATGCGCAAAACGCACCCCTGCACCCACTAGAGGTGACACAAGAGATCTCTGAATCAATAGTGTGAATGATAACAATTACTCCCTTTCCAGTCCTGTGTGCTCTGGGGCAAGGACTGTTCTAAAACTGAGGCTCAGAGAACGTAAGTAACTTGTCCAGAAGACACACAGCTAGTGATTGGGTGAGCCGGGATTGAAACCCAGGTTGTCTAATGTCCAAGTCTGTGTAGACACAGCACTTGATCGGGCTGGATGAGAAGGTTGGACCTTAGAGATTTTTTTCAGTTCAGTAGCCCCCAATCCTGGCTGCCCATGAGAGTAACTTGGGAACTTTTTTTACAATTGCAATTCCCAGGCTCCACAAAAACCCATGAAAAAAAACCCCCAGGAGGCGGCTGAGCCTCAGTGTATTTATGAAGAAGGCTCCTCTGCTGGCACTGACCCACAGCCGGGAGAGAGGACTTCTCTATTCTTCTCCTACCCACTTTACAGGTGAGAAAACTGAGCCCTGAAGATTGCTGACATGCCCAAAGTTGCACCATCAGTGCCAGGGCAAAGGCCCAGGACTGTCACTTCTACTACTCTTCTCTGCGCCCAAAATTGCCATTTCTCAACACGGTAAGGTTATAACCAAGAATCACTACATTCTACAAGGTGCTTGTGTGTCCTAAAAACACTACTTCATTTTAACCATTTCACAACCTACACACAAATAACTGCACAAAGAAAACCACCCCGATGGGCAGATGGCTCTGACAGTGCTTCTCCCAAGTCAGGGTGAGAGGGCCTCACTCTCTAGTTTTGGATACATGTGCAGTGCTTGAGGTTTGTATCACTTCTGTAGTTAAGAAAATCAATTTCTAAAAAACAGATCTGAAATGAGGGTTAGTCCTCCCAGAATGCTTTTCTCTAAAGAAACCTTTTGAACTATAAACCAGGAAGTACTTCATACAACCCTGTGACTTGCCCTGATTGGATAGGCTTCCAAAGTTGATGTCATTCTTCTTTCAATGACTTGCAGGGATATTTCAGAAATGAAAACAAATGCTTTGCACTTTTAGGAAATGGGGGGAAAATGGATGCTTATGTGATTCCTGAAGGAGACTGAATGGGTGTAGACCCATTAACACTTGGCTGTCTGGAAACCTGGCTGTTCTCCGTACAGCCTCGTCTGGTCACCAGCTCTGCCAGCCAAGGCTGCAATGAGGTCTTCAGCTAATAAAACTTACATAAAACACATAACATGCAGCCAGCCATCAGCTGCACTGGATCTCGATGAATAATTTAGAAACAAATTACCCTTTTCCAAATGAGTTCAATAAAGCTAGACTCATCGCAAGCACCCTCTGAGCCTCCCGCTCCCACAGCCATGCCTCCAACTGCCGTCGTTAAGGCACTAGTCCTGGTCTAAGAAGAATTCAGCAAATTAAACCTGATGAAGGGAAATTAAGTGCTCCCTTTCCCTTCCACTGCAAAAGAAAACATTTGCAGGCAAGCCAGTCTCTAAAATCTCTCTCTCTAAGGTACCATCAATCAGGCCAGAGCTCCTGCTGTATCATTACCCTGTTAGGATATATGCTTTAACCAGTCCATTTTATTCCATTTGGTGCTAATGGAATTTTAAAAAATCTTCTCTTTCAAAGCCTGGACCATCCTTTACCATATTTAAGTAGACTAACGTATGATATTTAAGGTTGGCTCCCTGGAAAAATGACTGATTCCAAGTGGAGACAGGGGAGTACAAAGTGAGTCTGGAAAACCTAATGGGTCCAGGTGCTCGAAAACTAATAGGGGGATGTCAGAAGGACGCCAGCACCAGCTTGAAGGGACACCGACTGGCCACGTCTGGAGCAATCTGAGTGTCAAAATGAAAAATGACAGGAATACATTAGAATGTATTGAACAAAATTGAGTCCCTACTAAAACTGTGAGGGGAAAAAAGGAAGAAAAAAGAAAAGGAAGAAAGGGGAGGGAAGTCTCTTGTTTAACAAAAGAAAGCCAATTAATAGATATGGAAAGAATAATGGAAACAGGAAATCACTCTTTACAACCACCATAGAAGTAATTGATTCAGGCAATGATTCATCAATGAATGTAAAAGTTAGTAGGTGGAAAAAGAACAAAGTCATCTCCTTTGCAAGGACATGGATGGAGCTGGAGGTCATTATCCTTAGCAAACAAACACAGGAACAGAAAACCAAATACCGCCTGTTCTCACTTCTAAGTGGGAGCTAAATGATGAGAACACATGGACACATAGAGGGGAACAACACACACGGGGGTCTATCTGAGGGTGGAGGGTGGAAGGAGGGAGAGGAGCAGAAAAAATAACTAATGGGTAGGCTTAGTACCTAGGTACAACAGTCCCCTGTGACATGAGTTTACCTGTATAACAAACCGGCATGTGTAACCCTGAACCTAAAATAAAAGTTTTCTAAAAATTTTTGTATTAGGTGGGTAAACAGGATATTCCCACAGTATCTATTGCTTACACATTAATTATAAAGGCAAAAAGGTACTTTTATGTGGGATCAATTCAGGGTATGCCACCTTCACCAAAGGGTCCAACTTACACCGATGAAAACTGTGATCCTGTGATCACATGATATTACCTATATCTTGCCAAAAATCTGTAGCCTAAATCAAAGTATGCTGAAACATTTTAGACAAATCCAAATTGACCCAAATGGAGAGGCATCTTGCAAAAACAACCTGTACCGTTCGAAAATGTTTATCTCAGCAAAGACCCAAAAAACTGGGAGAACACCAAGTGAAGATGAAGGCAGAGAGGAGGGTGACATTTCTACAAGCTAAGGAAGGTGGAAGATGGCCAGCAACCACAGGGAACAAGGCGAGAGGTAAGGGACAGAGGCTCCCTCCCAGCCCTCAGGAGGAACCAGCCCTGCTGACACTTCTAGCCTCCAGGACTGTGAGAAAATCCATTTCTGTTGTTTAAGCCACCAAGCCTGTGGTCCTCTGTTATGGCAGCCATGGGACCTCATGTACCCTCCAAGTGGCTCTCACACGGTGGGCGGAGTTGCCAGGTGAGCAGTTTCTGGAGACAGACTGCCTGTCATTTACTCACTCTACAGGTGAGTAGAGATTGCCCTGTCATTTAGTCACTCTACAGGTGAGTAGAGGTTGCCCTGTCATTTACTCACTCTACAGACGTGGGCGAAATCCCAACAGCACTGTCCCTGTCACCTTGCCTTTACAATAGGAATAACAGCAACACTCACACGGCTGTCGGGCAGGTTTATTCTGTGAAGACTTGAGAAGTGCTCAGAACAGTGCCTGATAACTCGGTAAGTGCTACAGAGTGCTGTTTATTATCATTACCATTATTATTTGGCTGTGGCTGTGGCTTTGTTCTGAACTTTGGAAGATCTCAGGTAAGGGTGTTGTCATGGTGGGAAAAGCTTTAGTTGAGAAGAAAAGCTCTTCTCAGCTTCTAGACCCAGCTCTGCCACGTTGGCTGTGTGACCCGGATGGAAGCACAGAATTTCTCTAGGCCTCGCTTCCTCTTTTGTAATATGTGAAGTTAAAGTCAGTCTCCAACACCCTGGGCCCACTCTGTCCAGGCTGACTCAAAGCACACAGGCTCTATGGGCCCCTTCAAGGAATGTGGTTAGAGTGTCTGGTACGCCAAAAAACCCACAGGAGATTCTTTAGAGGGATCTAAACTTTAAAGTTATGTCATTTAGTCAAGTTAAACTATATACATATAGACTTGACACTTTCAAATACATTGTGGATTTGCCGGGGGAAGAAATGAAGCATTATACTTCCACTAAGATTGGAAGAAATTCAGGGAGACCTGAGGCCTTCCTGCAATACGAGGACCTGCTTCCTACTGGCTCAGTGGGTGGAATCCAACTGAAACAGTGGTGGGTAAAAGCTACAGAAAAAAAGGTTTAACTCAAGCATTTCTCTCCAAACTTGATGCTCTTTGATGATAAATAATTGGCAAGATTCTAAATGGCTTTCAAATGTAATAAGAGAAAAAAACTTTAAGATGGAATTTTAAAAGCAGATGAGGGTATAAGATTATTAAGCTGCATGATTTATAATCCTTTGGGTATATACCCAGTAATGGGATGGCTGGGTCAAATGGTATTTCTAGTTCTAGATCCTTGAGGAATCACCACCCTGTCTTCCACAATGGTTGAACTAGTTTACAGTCCCACCTGCTATAAAGACACATGCACACGTATGCTTATTGTGGAACTGTTCACAATAGCAAAGACTTGGAACCAACCCAAATGTCCATCAGTGATAGACCAGATTAAGAAAATGTGGCACATACACACCATGGAATACTGCACAGCCAAAAAAAAGGATGAGTTCATGTCCTTTGTAGGGACATAGATGAAGCTGGAAACCATCATTCTCAGCAAACAAACTGATCGCAAGGACAAAAAACCAAACACCACATGTTGTCACTCATAGGTGGGAATTGAACAATGAGATCACTTGGACACAGGAAGGGGAACATCACACACTGGGGCCTGTCGTGGGGTGCGGGGTGGGGGAGGGATAGCATTAGGAGATATTCCTAATGTCAATGACGAGTTAAGGGTGCAGCACACCAACATGGCACATGTATACATATGTAACAAACCTGCACGTTGTGCACATGTACCCTAGAACTTAAAGTATAATAATTTTTTAAAAAAAAGATTATTAAGCTGACAGCAGATGTGATTGGCCTTATCATCCCTACCCGAAATCAAGGTTGTCATATGGTTTTTCCAGGCACCGTGGATGAAGGGGTATTCTACATAATAGTGAAGCATGAAATAATCATTCGTTTCATGTAAAGCGGAAAGTCTTCACTTACCTTGGGGACGCCGAATCACAGTGAGATTTACAGTTGCAGACTTGCGGGCCTTCGGGCTCTTCCAGGTAGCCACACATGTCGAAGTCCCATTGCTCTGTGGGGTCAGAGCCAGGATGCTCACTGCACTTTGAAGGTCGCTGGGCTCCGGAACAAAATAATAGCTTGAATGGCTGACCAGGAGACCGAGTTCCCAGGAAATATTCGGGAGCCGGGTCCAGTGTGAGGCTCGACAAGTAACTTTACAAGGCTCATTCTCAGCGACTACAAGATTAACATTGGGAATGAACAACTCTCCCATAACTACAGAAGAAAAGAGAGAAACACACTGAAGACATGACTGTGCCTCTCACTTCTAAGTTTTCTTTTTCTCTCTTTTTTTTTTTTTAAGTTTTGCTTCAAATTACGTTTTGTGAGACCTATTTTCCCAAGCCCAAAGGGGTTGTGTCTCTACTGGGAAATCTTAACTCAGATTTTATCTGGGTCTTTTTTGCACACCTGCCAGGGTCTCTGAAGAAGGTGAGGTTGCTCACAGGAAAGCACAAAGTTACATAGAAAATGCTTCATAAAAGTCAGAAACCAGGGGGAAATAATTCTATGGGAAAGAAAAGGGAGAGTGCGTGCCATAGGGGGCTATGCAATACCTGAAGTGAGCTACAGAATTATCTTGGGCTGTCCAGGGAGCAAAGCGAAAAAGAGAAACGAGCATCACCATCTTCTCACTATGACAAGGACACAGCCCAGAGTGGGACGCAAGTCTCCCCTGGAGTTTTGGTCATTCAGATACATTTTTATTTATTTCTAGGGACATATGGTCTTAAACATAACTTCCTAGGATATTGCCTTAACTCAGGTTTCTCATTACAAATTAAATCAAAATCCAAATAACTAACCCAAATCATGTGTCAGAATAACTTAGATAAGTTATTTTTTATTAAGAACACTCTTGCATAGGTCACCATTCATACTGAAAACAACCCATATGAAAATAATACTTGTTTTCACAAGTGTGACTAAAACAACCTGAGGATTGGCCCCAGTAAAGACAGTGTTAGTGAAATATATATATTATATATATATATAATATATATAAAAAATATATATTATATAATATGTATATATATGTATATAAATATATATATATAATATATGTATACACACACACACACATATATAAATGTCCAAGCAAAAACATGCTGAAACTCTGGACTACACAACATAAAGGAAAGAATACTAAACTAAGAATCAAAAACTTTCTTCCCAATCTTGGTTCTGCCAGAAAATTGTCATCACTTTGGGCAAGTCACTGAATGTTTTTGGCTCTCTTTGTTGTACTTACTGAATGAGATAGTTTGACCAGATCAGCACTTCTCAAACATTTTGGTTTCAGTACCTTTTACACTCTTCAAAATCATTGAGGACTCCAAAGACCTTTCATTTATGTGAGTTTTATCTACCAATATTTATCATATTTTATATTAAAGTTAAACAATTATAAGTATATATTTAGAAATAATAATTTATTACATGTTAATTTTGATTAACATATTTTTATGGAAACGAATCACACTTTTAAACTAAAATAATAAGAGGAGTGACATTGTTTGATACTTATATAAATCTCTGTAATGTCTGGCTGGATTCTCATAGCTGTCTCTTCATTCAGTCTGTTGCAATATACTGCCTTGTTTGAAGGATATAAAGAAAACCTGACTTCATACAGATATGTAGTTGGAACAGTGAGGAGTATTTAACAGCTTTTCAGATAATTGTGAATATTCTTGAATACTGTACCAAAACTTACTTTTCTTTCGTTTTTTTTTGTTTGTTTGTTTTTCTGTTTTTTGGTTTTTTTTTTTTTTGGAGACAGACTTTCACTCTTGTTGCCCAGGCTGGAGTGCAATGATGCCATCTTGGCTCATGGCAACCTCCACCTCCCAGGTTCAAGCGATTCTCCTGCCTCAGCCTCCCGAGTAGCTGGGATTACAGGCATGCACCACCACGCCCAGCTAATTTTGTATTTTTAGTAGAGATGGGGTTTCTCCATATTGGTCAAGCTGGTCTCGAACCCCCGACCTCAGGTGATCCACCCTTCTCGGCCTCCCAAAGTGCTGGGATTACAGGCGTAAGCCACTGCGCCCAGCACTTTTTTCTTTAAGAGATGGAATTTCACCATGCTGCCCAGGCTGATCTCGATCTCCTGGGCTCAAGTGATCTGCCCGCCTGGGCCTCCCAAAATGCTGGAATTATAGACATGAGCCACCGTTCCTGGCTGAGGTTTCTTAAATATTTTTTACACAGTGGAATCTGAAATTCTATCAAGGAACTTTCATTTTCTGTTACGTTAAAACCCATTGCACTATCTGGCACTTTGAATGGACCTTTTATTCTTGCATGAATTTATTACACTTCAGTCATCTGGAAAATGCTGTTCTGCTGAGTCATGCAGACCTTCCCAATGTACAGTGGAAAGCTCTCCTGTGCACTTGTGAGAAGGGTGAAAAAGGCGACAATAATAGGAATCTTCATATTATTATGAAAACAATCATGACTTCACAGACCACCCTGAAAGGATCTCAGGGTACATCGAGGAGTACCTAGACTACAGTGAACTGGGTCAGCTCTGAAAGATCTTTTTGCTCTGAAATGTTAGCTTCCCAATTATTCCTTCCTGAATATTCCCTTGGAATAAGAAAGGCAGTTTTGCTAACTCAAGGGCTACTGTAAATACAACAAGGAGAGGAGAAAGGGTTTGTCCCTTAAGTCTAAAGGATTTTGTGTTTGTTTTGTGTGACAGAGATGGTTTAAGATGACAGAACTGGGAGGAATGATATTGTCTCAGTTAATAACAGAAACTTTTGAACTCAAGTCCTTGCAGCCCTCAAAACATAAGAGGTCTAGAATTTGGTGTTTGATTGACTGGTGGATAAGGCAGCAAGTGGACCAACTCAGCAATCTGAAGGATTTCCTTTTTCTGTGTACAATTGGGATTCCACCTTCCCCCACCGGCTTTCACAAAGGTTATCCAGTAGCATGACGAACACTTTATACAAAAGTGATACTAGAATATTCCCATGGATTTCAGATGACTCAATTTGGAGTTATATCATCTCTATTTTGTTGACATATAAGGAGGGGGGAAAAATCATAGAATAATTCATGGTTGTTTCCTCTTTTTTCAAGATTCTTTCTCCCTTCAGGGAGACCCTGTTGCTCAGAGAACATTTGCTCCTCTAGGAACTAAGTACCATTCAGAGCAATGACACGAGGATAAAGGGATGCAGTTCTGTCCAAGCTCTATGGGTTCCTCTCGCAATATCTTGGAGAAGTCTTTGCCTCCTCTAGATGCTTGCCCTTCCATCTGTATTAAAACCAAAAACTACCATAACTACCAATATATAAAAAGTCATGTTGGGGGATCCAGACAAATTTGTAGACTTGTGACTTTGGGAAAACATGCTACAAAACCACATGGTTTCTGAATGTGATGTGTCATAAGTACTTTATAGCAGTAATAAGCCATGCCTGTGATCCTGTTTCCCTGCTCCAGAGATGCCCTCCTTCTCTCTTGCTTTCCCATTCTGTCTACCATGTAGAGACCTAGAAACTACATCTTCAATGGTACCTTCTCCATGAAATCATCCATGAAGGCTTTATTGACTCTGTCAGCTCCCCTCTTGATTGGAACCCGAGTTTGCCTCCCTTCCATCTCACTTGCCAGCATCTGGGTGGCTGGTATCCCTATTATTTGTGCAACTTGCATTATCCACTCTTCTTGTGAGGTTTTAAAAGAAAGAAATTGTGTCTTATTCCATTCCTCTTTGAGTCACTCTTAAATACCGAATACAATGGCATGCTTTTATTGGGAACACAATAAATAATAGCAAATGGCCATACAGTGATTGCTAGGAGCCAGGTGTGGTAAAGGCTTTACATAGACCTACTCATTTGAACCACGGCAGCCCTATGATGAGGACACTAGCACTCAAAGTCATTAAGTAATTGTGCCCCAGGTCATAACTTGTCATAAAGTGGTAACATGGACCCAGGCAGCCAAGCCCGAAGTCAGCACTCCTGACCACTAGAACACTCTGGCTCCCAACTTAACGTGCAGGGAATTACATCAGGCAGGACTTTGGAGTCATCAAACCACCTTTAGTCATTTTTTCACCTGATCCACACAGCAAACCCTTGAGGTGGGCTGGGAAGATTCATCTCCAGGTTAAAAATGAAGAAATTGAGCCATCTCAGGGGTCCGTCTGATAGATAACTGATGAAGCCAAAACCAGGATTTATATCTTTGATTCTTTTTCCTCTGTTCTTTCTCTTATATCGCAAATTATCATAATAAGAATCTGGTAGAGCAAAATAGGCCAACAGTCGTAAATAGCCTTATAAAATCACTTATTTAGAAAATACAATTGTGCCCCTAATTAAACTACACAAAATTAAAAACACACAAAAGACACACCAATTTAGCTAAATTTCTAAAGTAAGAAAACATTTTTTAAAGCACAAATAGAAATAGGTAAACATGTCTCCACCAAAGGTTATGAAATCTGATTTAATAGCAACATAAATATGAACAAAATCTTTGGGAATTTCTTCCAGACAAGTAAATACATAGAGATAAGAAATAATTTATAAGATATAATATATTTTCTTATAAGAAATGCTGCCATAGAAATCAGGAACTCTATATCTTTAAATAGAGTATAAATACACTTGTAAAGAATGCAAAGTGATTAAATTTTGGTAAGACTATTCCAAATCTTTGTAAAGCATCCTTTTACTTTTTACTGTGAAACATTATCTTAAGCACCTCCAAATTACCTCTAAAATGAAAAATAAGCTATCTATTATTATAAATTTTGTTTATTCTTTCCTTTTCTCTCAACGACTTGATATATTTGGTGAACACACAACTTTGACTGTAATGACTATCCCACTGTAATTGAAGGCAGGGTACAGAAATAAGTTGGGGGGATTCTGCTTGGAAGAGGAAAAAGTTAAAGCATACTTCAGAGTTGATAAATGATGTAAGCAGAGAAATATGGTCATGTACATGGAAAAACTAGAGAAAGGGCAGTGATTGCCAACTGTCTCTAAATCAAAGAAAAATGACTGCAACTAGCCCCAGAAGAATTACAGGATATATTTCCAGAAAGGCTATTAAATACTGAAATGGATTCAAAGGGGAAGTGATAAAATCTGTCTCTATTAGTCTTAACCAGAAAAAAAAGAAGGAAAGCTAAGATGGAAGGAGAGAGGGAATGAAGCAGGAAAAAGGGAAAGAAGGGAGGAAGTGAGGAAGAAGGGGGATAAATCAACAAAACAATAAACATTAGTCCATCCAGAATAATTCTAAGCCTATTGCCAACTGAAGGCTAGAGCACACAGGAGGGAAGAAAGAGAGGGAGAGAAGGGAAGAGGAAGGGAGGAGGCAGGGAGAGCATGAGGGAGGAAGGAGGCGACAAACCACAAAGCATTCATCAGTTCAGAATGATTGTACGTCAACACCAACTGAAGGTAGACCACATCTGCCATCATACGCAGCATGAACTTTAGAAGGTTCTTCCTGCCCTCTGACATTTAACCCGATAGACTTCAGATGTGGCATTCAGAAGCCACCTGTATACACACCTTGGACCGTAAGGGAAGCAGATCCATGCAGGCGACTGTTCTGGAGGCTGCATCTGATGTTCCCCGAATCACTGGGCTGCACATTGTGGATGATCATCTCTGAGGTAAAGTTCCCGCCCTGGTCGTACCTCTGAGAGGTGAAGCGGTCATTGGTGATGATGGGCTCCATGGGCCTGATGCTCAGCACCACCATGTCATTGAGAGCCCACATGATGAGCTTCCAGCCCTGCGAGACAGTGCAGTTGAAGCGAGCCTGGGAACCCTTCAGGACTGTTGCATTTTGGGGGCCTTCTATGACTTCATTACCAGATCCAGAACCTGGAAGGTAGCCAATTTTTCAAGTTGGTAAATGAATGGATCTCCATAAATCAACTGTGTGCTGTAACCTTTCTGTATTTATCAGTGGTAACCCCCAGGGTTACCATCCAGTGGCTCAGACTCTGTGTCTTTTGGATCCTAACACCACCTCTCCCCGGCAGATCAGGAGCTTCCGGTGGAAGCCACTGCCATGCCCTCCTTTCCACTCTACCCGCTAACTCTACAGCTGTATTGGGTTGAACAGTATTCCTCAAAACACATCTCCACTGGATCCTCAGAATGGAACCTTTGAAAATAGGGTCTTTGCAGATGTAATTAGGTAAGGATCTCAAGATGAAATCGACCTGGGTTTAGAATGGGCCCTAAATCCAATCACAGGTGTCCCTGCAAGAGAAATGCAGAGTGAGATTTGAGACACAGAGGCCTGCGGAGAAGAACACCATGTGAGGATGGATGCAGAGACTGGAGTGATGCATCTACAAGCCAAGGAATGCCAAGGATTGGAGCAACATCAGAAGCTAAGGAAGATGCATGGAAGACCCTCCCTCAGAGCCTCCATTAAAAAACCAACTCTGCCAACTGGCAACATCCCAGGATTTGCATTCACAGCAGTGGGGCTGGGACCCAAACTCAGACCTTCCCGCTCTGAATTTCATCCTCTTTTCTCTTCTGATGTCATTCAGAGTTTATAGCCAGAAGACACCCTGGCACACCACAGACCGTGGCTTCTCCTCATTTGTGCCCACCCTATCAATGAGACGGCAACACGTTCTACTACCTTCTGGTGTTGTGGGATCCCTGTGGGTGAACCAGGTAGCCTGCCATCATATACACTGGGTAGCACCCAAAACTGCAGCTCCTCCCTTTCCTTCTGTCTTGTAAGTCAAATTGCAAGGTAGGCCAGGCGCAGAGGCTCACACCTGTAATCCCAGCACTTTGGGAGGCCGAGGTGGGCAGATCACCTGAGGTCAAGAGTTCAAGACCAGCCTGGCCAACATGGTGAAACCCCGTCTCTACTAAAAATACAAAAATTAGCCAGGTGTGGTTGTGGGTGCCTATAAGCCCAGCTACAGGAGGCTGAGGCAGGAAATCACTTGAACCCGGGAGGCAGAGGTTGCGGTGAGCCAAGATCGTGCCACTGCACTAGAGCCTGGGCAACAGAGCAAGACTCTGTCTAAAAAAATGGCACGGCAGGTTCTAAAAGAATCTCATTATAGCCCTAAAGGTTTCTGGGGAGGAATTACACCGTTGGACACACAGTAGCACATTAGCTCTTCACCTGCGTACCCAGGCACATCATGGGGGCTGAACTGCCCCTGCAAGAACAACAGGTGAAAGGGAAGGAGTGAGCCGCCACCAGGAACAGTCCCCTCCAGAAGCGGGACCAGCAGGCGAGGATGCCATGGTGGAGGAGGGGCCCACTGGCTTGGGAGAGGCAGAACTGAAGAAGGTGAGAGTTCACTAAGGCTAAGCCAGCATTTGGATAAACATGATTACTACTCTTTGTTTTGTCCCCGGACATCATTTAAAAAAAAAAAAAAAAAAAAACAGAGAAAGAGAGAGAAAGTATGACTTTAAAACACAACTCAGATTAGGTATTCTCCCTGACCTCAGGGCAAGTCTCTTGATCCAAGATCTCTTTGATCTTTGATTTTTGTTTTAAGTGTGAGAAATGGAATTTAAAAACAACTCACCCAGGGAAGCCGCAACGCGGTTTCCAGAACTCTGAATTGCTTGTTAAGAGGAAGAGAAAATAGCCAAGTCTGCGCCCCAAGGGTCCATGCTGTAATAACCGCACTCCTCCTGCACTCCCACCCTGAGTCGATGGCAGTCGAGCGGACAGAGCCCAGCAGGGTGAGTGTGGGGATGATGGATGGGTGAGCCCCAGCCTTACCCAGTGAGAAGCCCGGGCCGTGCAGCGCCAACAGAACCAGCATCCCTCTGAAACCAGTTCCTTCCAATGCCTTGTGAGAAGTGCTGAGATTATTTCACTCCAAGGCCAATCTTTATGTGCCCTGGAGGCCACACGTGTCACTACGGAATCATACAATCTGTGCAGCCCACATAACCCTATTCTGCAGCTGGGAGATGAAAAGGAGGAAGGAGGGAGCTGCACCAGATGGAAACTCCTTGACTTTGATTTGACTTTCAGGTGAAACAGGAGCTATCCAACTCTAAACACCAAATTCCCCTGATTGTGTTACCTGTGTTTAGCTAGGCATTTAGCTCTAACTGTTTAAGAGCCGCAATGATCAGCATTTTTCTACACTGCAAGGTCAGGCAGTGAGATGAGGAAGGCTAGCCAAACATTTCTTCAGAATAAACACTGGAGGAAGGTTAATGTCCTTGCTAGAACAAACCCTAAGTAAACCACGCTACAGCTGTGCCTCAAGACTCAGGAGCCGTATTTCTGGTCACTTTAGGTCCTGGGAGCTCATCCCTCTCTTAGCTGTGTCTTATCGGCGGTAACCTTCCCCTATACAGAATAGGAGAAAACTGTAAAGAAGACCTTGAATCCAACAATCACCTGCCTCACTTAAAACCTCCCTTTCCTCTTTCCTCTCCCTTTTGCTTTATAGAGCAGACAGTCAGATGGGGGCAGAGCACTGGGAAAGATCAATGTCTCCTCCTGCCTGGGAACCTCCCTGTGGCCACTAGCTAAGGTTGTCACTAAGGACCGAAGGCTGATCTTTTTCTTCTCTTGCCCAAATTCTTATCTAAGGGACTGGGGAGTCCACCTTACAAACCATAAAGTCTCATCAGAGGGGTTTCATTGAACCCTATATAATGTGGCCTGCTTTCCAACCTGATTCTGGCACAGCGTCACATGACAGGTAAAGACGTGGTCCAAAACAACTGCTTAGTGATTATGTACTGAGGGAATAAACATGTTGGTTGAGTTCTATATAACCCATTATACAGGAGGCAAGGTGGCCAGGAGAGGGCTGGGAAGAGCATTACGCGTGCACACACAGGTTGATAATGGATATTCAGAGTGGTATCTACAAATGAAAATGACTCTACCCATAAGACTGTCCAACATGAAGCATTTGAACGCTTTGGTATTCATTACAAATTTGGGGATGGACATTCAGGAGCTCTAGAATTAGCCCATATATACTCTCCTCTCCTGAAATAGCCACCTTCAGGCCTCAACCCAGATCCTCCATGCCCTCAAAACAGCGCATATTCCTCAGCCTTTTTTTTTTTTTTTTTGAGACGGAGTCTCGCTCTGTTGCCCAGGCTGAAGTGCAGTGGTGCGATCTCAGTTCACTGCAAGCTCCGCCTCTCGGGTTCAAGTGATTCTCCTGCCTCAGTCTCCCAAGTAGCTGGGACTACAGGTACGTGCCACTATACCCAGCTAATTTTTTGGATTTTTAGTAGAGACGGGGTTTCACCGTGTTAGTCAGGATGGTCTCGATCTCCTGACCTTGTGATCTGCCCACCTTGGCCTCTCAGAGTGCTGGGATTACAGGCATGAGCCACCGCAACCAGCCTGCCTCAGCTTTTTCAGGAAAAAGTGTCTCAGAAACAGTAGACCCAGCGTTCATCCATTGCCCACCAAACCTTTGGAAGAGTTTTTTGTACCCATGGCTGAAATAGGCCCATACAATGCCATATGCCTAAGATGTATATTGAGGGTGGTTTGTTAACCCTACAGTCAGTCCCTAAGCTCTATACAAGCAGGGACCTTGTCTTCCTCTCCATTCTACAAACAAATGTTCAACAACCACCTCTGGAACACTTTGCTTTGCTTGCCACAGGCCTTTAGAATATCTTCATCCCCAAACACATTTTGGCACCACATTCTGGTGCTCTTAGATTTAATGTATAAACAGACCCAAAGCCAAAATGTCACAAAACAGTTCTTAGGCAGGCAACACGCTCTGATACTGCCCATTCTATTCTATTCCATTTTATTCTTTCACTGTCATGGCCAGAATTGTAAAACACATTGTCTAGCCACCTAAAATAGAGTAGATATGTTTGTAAAGTACAAAACATGCAAAACGTGTCTACACAGTTAGAAGTCAGAATGATGGGCCGGGCGCAGTGGCTCAAGCCTGTAATCCCAGCACTTTGGGAGGCCGAGATGGGTGGATCACGAGGTCAGGAGATCGAGACCATCCTGGTGAACAGAGTGAAACCCCGTCTCTACTAAAAAAATACAAAAAACTAGCCGGACGAGGTGGCGGGCGCCTGTAGTCCCAGCTACTAGGGAGGCTGAGGCAGGAGAATGGCGTAAACCCAGGAGGCGGAGCTTGCAGTGAGCCGAGATCCAGCCACAGCACTCCAGCCTGGGCAACAGAGCGAGATTCTGTCTCAACAAAAAAAAAAAAAAAAAAAAAAAAAAAAAGAAGTCAGAATGATGATCACTGGGAGTGGGGTGGAGTGCCTGGAAGGGAGCTGTCCATTGAAGGTTCTTGGCCTCAACGTCGATCATACAAATATGCTCGCTTTGTGAAAAGTCATCCAGCTATACCTTTATGACATGTGCCCCTTTCTGTACGTCTATTATTCTTCAAATAAATGCCTTCGAGTCACTGCCATCAGGAATGCAAGAGGAGTTTATAATCTAGTTGGGAACACAAAACTAACACCCCCCTGAAGCAATGGAAACTAAACAAACCTAATGAAAACCAAAGCTGGCTGTGAAAACCCCAGTTCCTCCCAGCGCCCCAGACCATACGCTATGCCTCTCGCATAGAAAGTAGTCGGACCAGGAGACCCAGGCCTTGCACGCAGGAGTTCACTCCGGCTGACACCGCTGGAGAGCGCTGGAGTGTGTCACACACAACAGAACCCTTCGCCTGTCAGTAAACGGAAACTGGGATTCTCGCCCTGAAAATGGCAAGGGTTAGGAGGCTTCAGGGAGGAGGTGATTTCTGAGTCAGGTTTTCCTTGAAGGCCAGAGAGAAATTGAAAAGGTGAGAAACCAGGGAGGGGAAGGGACATTTCAGCAGGTGCAACCACTTGTGGGAAGGAACCGAAGGCAGACTCCCAGGACAGTGATGGCCCCGATGAGGATGGGGGGAGATGCCATCCATGCACCTGAAGGACCGTTCTGGGAGTCGAGTCGATGCAGTAGGAAATGGGTCACACAGAAGAGGTCGCCATGGGAAGGTCTGCAGTGGGAAGTGTCTGAGAAAGACTCTTCCGGCAGTTGTGTGTTCCAGAGGCCTCCTGTGGCCCTTGTCTTCCCCCAACACTCCAAGCGGACATTGGTGAACAGCCCACAAAGCTCACGCGACCCCTACCTGCCAGCCCAGCCAGGACGACCAGCACGGTCAGAACAGCTTTCCCGTAGCTCTGCACCTCCATATGTTCTTCCTGGCCCTGGGAAAATAAAGCGAGCAGGTAACCGCCCATCTCTGACGAGCATCTACTCTTCAGAAGTCTTCTGTGCCACCCCTCCCCTGCCCCCCAGCTGGTGTGTGCCCGTGGACACGTTAGATCGGCACATCACAGTGTAGACAGTGGCAGCCTCTCTTGGGAAGTGTTAGAAAGCACAGGCCGGGTGCAGTGGCTCACACCTGTAATTCCAGCACTTGCTGAGGCAGGTGGATCATGTGAGGTCAGGAGTTCGAGACCAGCCTGGCCAACATGGTGAAACCCCATCTCTACGAAAAATACAAAAATTAGCCAGGTGTGGTGGTGTGCACCTGTAATCCCAGGTACTCAGGAGGCTGAGGCAGGAGAATTGCTTGAACCCGGGAGGTGGAGGTTGCAGTGAGCAGAGATCACGTCATTGCACTCCAGCCTAAGTGACAGAGGGAGACTCTTAAAAAAAAAAAACAAAGCACATTTCTGGGCCCACCTCAGACCTCCTGAATCAGAAACCCCTGGGGTGGGCCCAGAATTTTGGATTTAAAGAAGCCCTCCAGGTGATTGTGGTGCCTGGTCAAATCTGAGAATCACTGGATGAAATGGTCTTACCCCACCCGCAAGCCCACCTGGATCATGAAGGGGTGTAGATGGTGCAGACTCACCTCTGAATGACTGGCCAAAATGCAGAGCCTATTAGAAGGTGGCAATAGGTGTGGGGAAAAACAGGACGAGGAGGGGCACCAGCTACCACTTCAAACAGGGTGGCCAGAGAAAGGCCCCCGCGAAGGTGCACCATGCACAGCGAATGAGGTTAGACAACAGCCACCGCACTGGACACCTACAGGAAGAACTTTCCCAGCAGAGGAAACAGCAGGTGCTAAGGCCCTCAGGGGGACTGTGCCTGCTGTGCTTGACCAAATGCAGAGAAGGCTCTGCGGCAGAGCGAGGGGTGGGTGGACGGAGTGAGGTCAGAGTTCAGGGAGGTCAGGATAGACGGGGTAAGGCCTGGCCAGACCATTGACGGCACAGGAGGATTCTGCCATGTATACCTTTTGTTCCTTCCTTCCAACCCCCTTTGTTTGTTGACGCCCTCTTGGTCACCCTCCGCCCTTGCATTTTTTTCTGTTTGCTTTTCTCTCTCCCCTAGGAGAGGCTTATCCAAGACACTCACCAGTACTGATGTGTCCTCCTGGAAGATTCAGGGTTGGATCACCTATGTGCTGAACATGTCACGAACCACCTGCAAAACAACACTCCTCAGCCTCAGGAAAGGGTCTCTTTATTGCAAACATTCCTCCACAGCACCAATGAGTGGAGTCCAGTGACCCGAACGGTTCTCATTTCAGCTTTGGCATCTACACACATTCCACAGCCCTGCGAGGCTAGTCCACCCATCCCTCCAGAATATAAGGTGCCAGGTCCCATCAGGGACTTTGAGGAGAGACTTTCTAATGTGCTGACAACACACATCTATGGCTCCAGTCTCCTTTCGTTTCGATAGGACGTAGAAGGCAGATCCCACAGCTAACCCAGAAACAAAAAATACAAGAATTGAAACCGTGATGGGAAAACCACTGCCACACCTCAATCTGCGGACATCTCACCCAAGTTACTGAATGAAACCCAGAGTGTCAGCGTGAAGGACAGCAAAGATGCTCAGGCCCGTGACCCGCGTTTAGCATTTAAGTGCATTACTGGTATTCACAGCCTTGAGAAAGAATGTGGGGTTTCCACCCCTTCATTTCTCCGAGGTCTTTGGAAAGCAAAATTCAACATGTGCATCAAACTATAACTACTCGTGTCTGTAATTTTTTGTTTGTTTGTTTGTTTGTTTGTTTGAGACCAAGTCTCGCTCTGTTGGCCAGGCTGGAGTGCAATGGCACGATCTCGGCTCACTGCAACCTCTGCCTCCTGGGTTCAAGCAACTCTCCTGCCTCAGCTTCCCAGGTAGCTGGGAGTACAGGCACCCGCCACCACGCTGGGCTAATTTGTTTTTGTATTTTTAGTAGAGATGGAGTTTCACCATGTTGGCAAGGCTGGTCTCGAACTCCTGACCTCAGGTGATCTGCCTGTCTCGGCCTCCCAAAGTGCTGGGATTACAGGCATGAGCCACCACTCCCAGCCTGTAATTTAATATAAGGTTTGAAATACGTGTGCTGCAGCAGCATTTCATTGTGGAACCCAGCCCCTTGCAATAATCTACCATAGACTCAGCAAATCCCTACAAATATGCCTCAGTAGCAAGTTGTACAACAGCTGTATACAAACCAAAATGAAATCACAGCCTTCCCAGATTGATCCAAAATCTGGAATTATGAAGTGTCAAATAAATCATTCACTAATTTTTAAGGTTCGATTAACACAACTCCACAAGTAGTCACCTGGAACGTCAGGCTCTAGCAGAGGATGAAAGAGAAATTGAGTCATCTAGTTATTAAAAATTACATATTTTACCAAAAGCAGACACAGCCAAGTGTGAATCCAGTGTTATAGAAAACAACGCAGCAATAGATTAAGGTATGTTAGGAAAGACTTCTAGTCCCTGACAAGCAGGTAGAGTCAGGCAACAGACTAAGAACAGATTGCTTAACTTACTCAACACTCCATTCTGCCAACATCCTCACATGTCATCTGCATTTCATCTCTGTATGAAAGAAGAATCTAGCAGAATCACAGGGCAGACAGTGCAAAAACACCCTCAGAGCTCCAGGAACCAAGCAGTGAGGTTGCTACAGATATGGATTTGAGAGGTGATAGCATTTGAAGGGCATATGCAGTTGGAACACTGTCATAAAGCTGATTTCAAGTTTAACTGAAATCAGACAAGCTGCTTTAATTAAATAAAGACATATGCCAGGTATTGTTCATTAATATCCCTGTAGGGTAGTCTGAACAGGACTTGAGATTTCTCATTCATTTCATTATAGCAGACTTGAATTACCTACACTTAGTTGAAAAATCTTTTTTTCTTAAAGTCTTTAGTCTTATTAAATTGTATTAAATAGATAGGATTAGCCACCCACCAATTCCTCCCTGTCCTGACAAGAGGCAAACACACTCAGAAGATCAGCCAGGACTCACCAAGCTAGTCCTCTCAGAAAGAAAATTGGTGCATTTGAGATCTCACTTAGCCCCTTATTTTTGGATTATTGGAAACAGCTTGATAATGGAATCTTCAAAAGTGCCAGAAAATGTCCTGTTTGGGGCAACAGCAAGAAGCTCAAAAACAAACAGAATAGGGGGCAAGTGCCTGCTCAAGTTTGGTGGGAAATAGCCATACAGATTCCTCAGCAGAAGCCTTATAAGCCAGAAGGGATTGAAGTCCTATCATTAGCCTCTTTAAACAAAATTATTGTCAGCCAAGAATTTTATAGCCAGCAAAACTAAGCTTCATAAATGAGAGAGAAAGTCTTTTTCAGACAAACAAATGCTGAAGGCATTTGCCACTACCAAACCAGCACTATAAGAAACGCTAAAAGGAGTTCTAAATCTTGAAACAAAAGTTTCATCTGCACCAAAATAGAACCTGCTTAAAGCATAAATCTCAGAGGGTCTATTAAATAGTAACACAATTAAAAATAGAAGTATCTAGGTAACAACTAGTATGATGAATACAACAGTACCTCACATCTCAATATTGACCTAATGTAAATGGCCTAAATGCTCCACTTAAAAGATACAAAATAGCAGAATGGATTAAAAAAACAAAAATACACCAACCAAATATCTACTGTCTTTAAAAGATTCAGCTAACACCTAAGCGCTCACATAAACTCAAGGTGAAAGGTTGGAGAAAGATATTTCACACAAACAGAAACCAAAAGCAAGTAAGAGTAGCTATTTTTATTTCAGACAAAACAGACTTTAAAGCAACAACAGTTGAAAAAAAAAAAAGACAAAGAAGGACATTATATAGATAAAAGGATTAATCCAACAAGAAGATATTACAATCCTAAATGTATATGCACCTAATACTGCAGCACCCAGATTTTAAAAACAATTACTACTAGACCTAAGATATTAAATAGATAGCAACACAATAATAGTGGGGGACTTCAATACCCCAGTGATAACACTAGACAGATCATCAAGACAGAAAGTCAACAAAGAAACAATGGACATAAACTATACCCTAGAACAAATGGACCTTACACATATTTACAGAACATTCTTCCCAACAACTGTAGAGTATAAATCTGGAGGCTTCACATTACCTGACTTCAAATTATACTACAAGGCTACAGTTACCAAAACAGCTTGGTACTGGTATAAAAATATGCACATAGACTAATGGAACAAATAGAGAACTCAGAAATAGAGCCAAATACTTACAGCCAACTGATCTTCAACCAAGCATACAAAAAAATAAATTGGGGACAGGACACCCTATTAAATAAATGATCCTGGGAGAATTGGCAAGCCACACGTAGAAGAATGAAACTGAATCCCCACCTCTCACCTTATACAAAAACTAACTCAAGATAGATGAAAGACTTAAATCTATGACCCGAAACTCTAAGAATTCTAGAAGATGGCACCAGAAAAATGCCCTGGACATTCGCTTAGGCACACTCCAAAGCAAGTGTGCCTGAGCTCAAGACCTCAAAAGCAAATGCTTTAAGACCTCAAAAGCAAATGCAATAAATAAACAAATAAATAGGAGCTAATTTAAGAAGCTTCTGCACAGCAAAAGAAACAATCAGCAGAGTAAACACACAACCCACAGAGTGGGGGAAAATATTTGCAAACTATGCCTCCAACAAAGAACTAGTATCCAGAATCTACAAGGAACTAAAACAAATCACAAGAAAAAAATAAAGAAAAAGAATAAGTCCATCAAAAAGCGGGCAAAGAACATGAACAGGCAATTCTCAAAAGAAGATACACAAACAGCCAGTAAACATATGAAAAAATACTCAACATCACTAATCAGGGAATGCAAGTTAAAACCACAATGAGATGCTGCCTTACTCTTGCAAGAATTATCATAAAAGAAAAAGCTACAAATGTTGGTGTGGATGTGGTGAAAGGGAATACTTTTACACTGCTGGGAACGTAAATTATACAACCACCATGAAAAACAGCAGGAGGTTCCTCAAAGAACTAAAAGTAAAACTACCACCCGATCCAGCAATCCCATTCCTGGGTATCTACCCAAAGGAAAAGAAGTCGTCTTATGAAAAAGACTCTTGCACATGCATGTTTATAGCAGCACAATTGCAATTGCAACAATACGAAACCAACCTAAATACCCGTCAACCAATGAGTGGATAAAGAAAATGTGATATATATACACCATGGACTACGACTTAGTCATAAAAAAGGAATGAAATAACGTATTTTGCAGCACCTTAGATGGAGCTGGAGGCCATTATTCTAAGTGAAGTAACTCAGGAATGGAAAACCAAACGTCATATGTTCTCGCTTACAAGTGGGAGCTAAGCTATGAGGACACAAAGGCATAAGAATGACACAATAGACTTTGGGGACTCAGGAAGGAAGAGGGTGAGGGATAAAAGACTGCATATTAGGCACAGTGTACACTGCTGGGGTGACAGGTGCACTAAAATCTTAGAAATCACCATTTAAGAACTTATTCATGTAACCAAAAACCACTGGTACCCCAAAAACTACTGAAAATTTTTTTAAGTAAAGAAAAAAAGAAGAAGGAAATAGCTATAACAAAAACCATGTAAGGGGCTAAGGGGCTCCCTGGACACCTCCACGGCTCAATAAAAAGGCGCTGGCATTTCTCCTGCACTTGGAAGACTCCAGCTCTGAGCCCCTTGCATTCAGGGCCTGCCTTCTTGGAACCTCCAGAGACTTCGGGACAATTCTGCTTTCCCTAAGGCATCTCATTAGAGGGTGGAAAAGGCATTTACAAGCTTGTCCAATGAATGGCAGACGTCATGAGTCAGTCATTTCCAAAAGCCCAGACTTTCCCACTGCACAGTATCTCCCTGTAACAAAACTGCATTTGTACCCTCGAAGTCTGTAAAAGTTTTTTAAAACTTTCTATTATTTGAATCCCGACTCCCCCAGCCCACCAAATTTCAGCCAAGTCTCAGCTTTCAACCCATCCCAAGAACAGTTCACTGTGAAAGCGACACTCACCGATCAGAAACCATCTGGAATTTCTGAACTCTCAGAGAAGTCCACGCTTGTAGTTTTTAACCCTGTGGAAATTGGAAAGCGAAGATCATGTGTGTAAACGTCCAGCACTTTCCTGGGAAACTCAGA